AAAAAATCTAATATATAATTACTTGCCTTAAAATATGATATTCCCTTTACAATATTCATTTATATCGTATTCTTTCTCACACCAGCCATTCTCTCTCTCTCACATGCAAACCACTTTCACAAAGATATAGATAAAGGCAAACATATGCACAACCTCCTCCTTTTAGTACAAATAGAAGAAAAAAGTTTTAAGATAAATATAAGTGAAAATAATAAAAGAGACAGAAAGAATCATATTTATGTGTATCAAAAGGGTTTACATCTATTGAGAAAACATCCATTTTTGTTCTTGTTATGGTATTGTAATTTTATATTGAGCTTTTCAAATTAGAATAAAAATGTAGGTTGTCTTCCCACAACTAAATAACCAGATGTGGATTAATCCCTGAATGTACTTACAATTCCATGCTTCTGTAACAGATCTATGTCCTGGAAAAATGATTCCTGCAACATGAGGACAGAATATTGGTTATTTTATTTATTTACATATTTATATTCATATTTTTAAACTGCTCATCTCCCCCGGAGAGGGACTCTTCACAGTGTACAATCAAATATAACCTTATAAATAAAACCTTGTATAAAAATTTAAATTAAATTATGGTAAAAAAATTTTACAATTATAGAATAATGACAAATACCAAAAGGGAAAAAGGAAAAAAAAATCCTAAGATGGCGATGCCAAGATGGTTATTACAGATGTGTGTGTATGGGGAGGGGGGGTTTCTCATGAGACTAGCCAGCACCACAGTTGCATGTTCTTCTGTGCCTCCCATTCAAGGCTGCAGAGCCAAGTTTTAGCCCCTTTGCAGAAAGTCAAAATACTGGGGGTTTGCTTTCCTTACCTCTGGCAATAGGATGTTCCATAAAGCGGGACAGTGGCCAAGAAGGCTTTCTTCCTAAACCCCACCAATCAAAATTTTTTCACTGCTGGGGCCTACAGTGTACCTTCTCTGCCTGATTGAGTGAGACAGACTGATGAGATAAGGTGAAGCCGGTTCTGTAGGTAATTTGGTCCTATGCCATGTAGGACTTATAGGTGATGACCAATACCTTGAATTGGACCCAGAAGAAAACAGGTACCGAGTGCAATTCATGGAGCAAGTTTATTATATGTGCCTTTCTTTGGATACCTGATATGGCCCATAGGGCCACACTCTGCACCAGTGAAACTTCCAAATACATTTCAGGGATAGCCCCATGTAGAGCACATTGCAGTAGCCCAATAGGGAGATGACCAGGGCATGAATGACTGAACATAGAGCTTCCCTGTCCAGGGAAAGGCATAATTGGTGCACAATGTGGAATTGGGCAAAGGCACTCCTGGTCATGGCCGCCACCTGCTTTAGAGCAGGAGTTGCAAGTCCAAGAAGACTCCCCAGGTCTGACTGGGGTAGTGCAACTCCATCCAAGGCCAGGGATAATAAATTCCTGGAAACAGAACGGACCATCCACTCCATCTTACTATGGTTCAGTTAAAGTCTGTTGTTACCCATCCAGACTTCTACAGCATTCAGGCATTGTGAAAGGACATCCACTCCAGCACTCACTTCACCAGATATGGAGATATATAATTGGGTATCATCCACATATTAATAATACCTCATCCCAGATGGTCTCACCCAGTCGTTTCATGTAGATGTTGAAAAAGAGCACCGAGCCCTGTAGCACCCCACAAAGGGGCCATGAACTGGACTTTTCACTTCCTATCAATACCAATTGGGGCTGGTCTTGGAGGAAGGAGGGGAAACAGCACAAAACTGTGCTGCCCAACCCCAACTTCTGAAGTTGACCCAAAAGGATTCCATGGTCAATGGTATCGAAAGCTGCTGAGAGGTCAAGGAGAGCAAGGATAGAAGCACTGCCACCATTTCACTCCCATCACACATCATCCATGAGTGTGACCAATGCAATTTCAGTCCAGTTTCTGGGCCTGAGACATGACTGAAAAGGATCCAGATAATCTGTTTCCTCTAGGATCCTCTGAAGTTGCAATGCCACCACTTTCTCGGCTACTTTCTTAAGGATAGGTGGGAAACTGAAAATTGTCCAACATGGATGGTCCAGCGATGGTTTCTTGAGTAGGGGATAGACAAGCACCTTTTTAGAAGAAGCCAGCAATATCCCCTCCAACATGGATGAATTCACCCATGTATGGACTCATCTACAGTACATGATACATTTTGATATTTTTCAACCCCTAATCTATCTAATTACCTGTGGGAAAAGGTAAAGTATATCTTAAATATATTTAGTAGTGTGAATCGAGACTATCCAAGTTATAGATTGCCCTGCTTAGTACAATCATCCCATCCAAAGAAATCACAGGAACTAGTTGACAATCTTGATGAATAAATGCAAACTCCATCTTATTTGGGTTTTAGGTTCAGGCTGTTTCTTCCCATCCAAGTCTCAAGTTTTTAAATTAGTTTACAGTCCTGATACCTCTTTAGATACCAAGTCCAATCCTGTTTAACTCTTTGTTCTTAGCTGAGGTCACCTGCCTGTTGCCAACTAACTCTTATTCTTTTGATGCTGATAAGTAATGGCAATATATATATAGATCTACATTTAATTTATTATTTATAGATGGACTATCCATTTTATTACATTTCTTATATGGAATTTTCTCAAGGGACAGCTTACATTGAAATTACTACTGAACCAAATATACTTCCATACCTCTTCATCTTGGAATCCTAGTTCTTCTTGTACAACTTGGTCTTCTAGAGATTTCATTGTGAAAACAGAACTAATAGAATTCAGTCAGTGCTGCAGAAATCAATTCAATACTGCTAAAAAGCATAAATAAGTAATTATTTTATGAGTTTTTAATGTTTACCATATTATGCTAGTCTAGAGGGGGCTAAGTAGATTGCTGAAATACATAAACTCAGATGAATTTCATTCAAAAATAAATATACCATTCACTAGTACAGTGATCTGAGCTCTGAAACATTGATTTAAATCCTTTCCAAGTAGAAGATTCAAAAGGAGAAAATTTTAAATTTTTTAAAAGAAACAGACCAAATAAAAGAGGTGGAGTTGCACTATATATAGGAAATAACTACACCTCTACAGAAATAGAGCACAACAATGATGAAAACTGTCCTGAATGCATTTGAGTCAATATAAAAGGGGGGAAATGACATTGCCATAGTGTATACCAGTGGTGGCGAACCTATGGCACGCGTGCCAGAGGCGGCACTCGGAGCCCTCTGTGGGCACACGCACCGTCACCCCAGCCCCGCCTCCTCCCATGGCCCCCTCATCAGCAGCCCTCCGGAGGAGAGTCGCCCCCGGGCATGGCCCACACATTGCTGCGCAGCCAAGGACATGGTAGCCGGGCAGCGGGGACAAGACTCTGCCCTTGCGCTCCATCGCGTGCAGATGATGCTGCAGGGCATGGGTGGAGGGCATGGCCACCATGGCGCTGCTGGGCTACCTGGGTGATCTGTGGTGGGCTGTGGAGGTGGTAGGTGGTCCAGCGGCACAGCGGAGCGGGGACAGGGATGGGGGGTGGTTTTGGGGCACTCAGTCTCTAAAAGGTTCACCATCACTGGTGTATACTATAGGCCACCCAACCAAACAAAGGAAATAGATGAATTTAGAATAGAATAGAGTTGGAAGAGACCTTGGAGGTCTTCTAGTCCAGCCCCCTGCTAAAGCAGGAGAACCTGTATCATTTCAGACAAGTGACTGTCTAGTCTCTTCTTAAAAATCTCCAGTGATGGAGCGCCCATGATTTCTGAGGGCAAGCTGTTTCACTGGTTAATTGTCCTCACTGTTAGGAAGTTTCTCCTTAATTCCAATTTGCTTCTCTCTTCGATCAGTTTCCAATCATTGTGAGTCAATATAAAAGGGGGGGAAAAGTGACATTGCCATAGGGGTATACTACAGGCCACCCAACCAATCAAAAGACTCTTTGCCAACCAGTTAACAAATGTACTACCACAGTAGTAATGGGAGACTTCAACTACCCAGATATCAGCTGGAAGACAAACTCTGCAGTGAGTGGGAGATCAAACAGATTCCTAACCAACTTACCCATCCAAAAGGTAGAGGAGGGAACTAGAAGTAAAGCTATACTGGAACTAGATTGTATGTCCAATCTGCAGATGGCTGGTTCTGTTCCTTTGAGAATAGAATCTCCTATTACCAATACTCGCCTTCCTTTTTTTTGGGGGGGGGGGTGAAATCTGGGATGCTTTTCTATTTATTTCAGGTGTATTTGTTGATGTGACTTTTTAAGGGATATTTGGTGATGATTCTTTGCTAGGTGTCTGCGTGTTTTCTTTGGGGGGGAGGTTGTGGGTCTGCATATTTCCATCTAGGGGGAGAAATCGATTGTTCAGTTTTAATGGGGCTGCTTCTGGTTGGGTTAGATTGGGCAGTAGGAGTTGTTAGATGTATGCTGCTTCTTTCTTTGATTATTGTGTTTCCTTATATGTGTGACATACCTCCATTTTTCTTCAGCCAAGGGTTTATCAGTATGGTCAAATCCTCTGAGAGTTATTTGTTCATTATTTGGTTTGGTTTGGATATATAGTCTGTATCTGCATAAAGACGGGAGGTTGAACAACTAGTGTTGTGATGCAGCTGGAACAGTCTTAAACTGAACATACTCAAAACTGTAGAAATGATAGTAGATTTTAGGAGAAACCCCAGTGGTGAGATTCAAATAATTTAACAACCGGTTCTCTGCAGGAGGGGAGGCGGGAGGGTGCTGCCACGAGGCAGGTGGGGGAGGGGACAGCTGTCCCATGCTCCCCGCTTACCATGCCACTTGCCATGTCGAAGGGCCCCCATAGCCAGGCCTACCACGCCCCAATATCTGTCACGCCTCGCCTGTTCAGTAGTGACTTTTCTCGTTTGCCTCTGGAGCTGCTGCTCGCCTTCCTCCTCATGCACGCCTGCTATGTGCTCGCACATCAGCTGTGCTCTTCATGCCTCAGATCAGCTGCAGTTGCTGTGGAGACCATGGCTGACTTGGGCTAGGCAGATGCACACACACTCTGCTGTTTTTGGTGGCTCTTCTTGCCACTGGGGCTGCCACTCGCCTTCCTCCTTCACCAACTTCTAGTGCACGGGGAATCTGCACTGCCCGCCTCCCCCCCCCGTGCCTTCACTAAATCGGCTAGAAATGAGGTTTAGCAGCTTGAGTGTGCAGGCAGAGGCACAGGGGAAGGTAGGCGGTGCAGAGTCCTTTTTTTAATAATATATTTTATTAATTTTTATCATGGTCACCTTAATATTCAGTAAACAGTGTGTTGTCTGGGTTTACATTTAAAAAACATTCGCTAACAATTGGTTTCTATAATCTATAATCCACCTAATAGCTTTACTTGATTTCCTCTTCTTTCCATAATGTTCTCTTTTATCAACCTTAAGTTAATACAATTCTTATTGTTTTAATAGATAACAATTGAATATAAAAAATTTTCTAATATTTCCGCAAATAATAATCAAATCAATATAATATTTCTTTTCTATCTAGTCATTCTGGTTGCCTCATCATAGATCCCATTTACAATTCTTATTTATATTTGTTTTTCCCACAATGTTCAAAACATTCTTACTGGTTAAGATTTTCTCAAAGTTAGTTACATTTAAATATTTGATTCTATTTTTTCTCATGTAAACCATCCCATAACATTTACCTTACTTAAGGAATAAATAAGACTAAAAGAAGAAGAAAAAAGAACAAGAGTAAAGAGGGATAAAAAGATAGTATACTACTGAAAGTTCATGATTCCCCTAAGCCAGGGGTAGGCAACCTTGGCTCTTTTATGACTCGTGGACTTCAACTCCCAGAATTCCTGGGCCAGCCATGCTGGCTCAGGAATTCTGGAAGTTGAAGTCCACGAGTCATAAAAGAGCCAAGGTTGCCTACCCCTGCCCTAAGCTAATACATATTTATTTCCAAAATTTTTCCATTCTTTTTTACCATAATTAAGAATATATTTAATCTTTAAATATTCCATTTAATAAATCTTGTCATCTGGTCTTTTAACTCTTATTCAAAACATTTTCTTTTCAATCCATTGTAATTTTCTTAAAATCAATCACATTTAAATATCTAAAATATGTCATCCGTTTCACTGTAATTATGAATATCTATAACACATGAAGCCAGTTCTTAAACACTATATATTTACTATATGTTTTAACTTTAATGTTCACAGTTCTTTGAATATTGTAAATTAGCATCCAGAATATGGGCAATAATTAAAATGTTAAACCTGGAGATTTATGAAATTAATGGTACTTCTGTCTTATTGAAATAATGATTATCCCATACAGTTCTCTCACTTTCATGTTTGGAGAAAGCCAAATGTCCCTCAAGAAAGTATGTTTAACTAGGCCAGTGGTGGCGAACCTATGGCACGGGTGCCAGAGGCGGCACTCAGAGCCCTCTCTGTGGGCACGCGCGCCGTCGCCCCAGTCCTAGGTCTTCAGCTGGGTTTTATAAAACCTTTTCGCTTTAGGCCTCTGCCGCCATGTGCAAAAAAAAAAAAAGGTTCAATCAATCAATTTCAACTTCTTGCAGGAAAAAAAAAGATCTTGCAAAGTTGGACTTGATTGATTGAACTTTTTAGTCCCATCCCGTCTGCCGTTACCACTGCAGCCATGCCCACCCAATGGGCCACGCCCACCCAGCACTCGATGATGCGTAAGTGGGTTTTGGGTTGCAGTTTGGTCACTCAGTCTCTAAAACAGCGGTTCTCAACCTATGGGTCGCGACCCCATTTTGGGTCGATCGACCATTTCACGGGGGTCGCCAAGCAAGGCTGTCCGCCATTTTTTCCCCCTTTTCCAGCGGGTGCCTTACCTCCCTTGAGCTGGGCCAGCTGGTGATCGGCCTGCTCCGTCTCTGCCGCTTGCCAGCTACGCCTCGGCCGGCGCAGGGGGCGGAACCACGCATGCGCGGCGCTCCTGGGCAGGGAAAGTCCTCGACTTACGACCGGTTGGGTAGTCCTCTACTTACGACCGGTTTAGTCCTCTACTTACGACCGGTTTAGTCCTTGGCTTACGACCGGTTGGGGGTCGCGGCATTAAAAAGGTTGAGAACCACTGCTCTAAAAGGTTCGCCATCACTGAACTAGGCTAAACCTATGAAGTGATAATCCTCTGAATGAAATTAATAAATGTACTTTAACAAAGACACTAACTCCTTGTGAGGAAAGGAAGTGAGCATAAAGCTATGGTTATTCAAAATGCATCAAACAACATCTCCACCTATTCTTATATTCATATGAATCTTTTCCGCTTTATAATTAATATTTACATATTTTTATATATTAGCTTTCTTTCATTGTAGGACAAAAGAATTTGTTAATAAAGCTCTTAGGATTTTTAATATATTCACAGTGACCTCCAGTGTTCTGAAACCCATTTTGATAAAACTGTTCTATGCAGTCTCAGATTTAAATATGCTTATACACACACAAAGTTAAGAAGCTCACTGTGTCCCATCAATAGGTGGAATAAAAAGAGGCAATCTGAGTTAGCTGGAAGACAAGGAACATAGTATAGCCAATTAAATACTAAAACCCATGGGTCATTATGCTGTTTGCAAGATAAAATCCCAATTAACAAGAGTAGTAACAATAAATGCAGGATATACCACTGTGGTAATAAAACTATGGTAACAATAAACTAATATGTTCAATTGAATTTTATTATGGTGAGATTAATAACTTATCTGATCATCTTCAAATTGCACTCCTGTATTATAA